TCTCTTTCTTTTTTCATCCGTCCTTCGTCGTCAAATATATTTTCGGTTTATTATATTTTGTGATTTTTGTAGTGTGTGTGTGCGCGCGCGCGGGTGTCCTTCATTAATATTAGGCGTCCGATCATGGTGAGCCACGCTCTTTTATTCATGTCGTATATTAGTGTAACTATGCTGGTTAGCCGTGCCAGTAGACTCAATCGGTAACCTTTCCCACCCACCTCCGCTCGAATGGACCTGGCAGCTGTCTAGACCTTATCGCGAGCAACATCCCTAACCAACTCAACCACAATCAACACCTGGCTCCTCTTGGCGCATCGGACCATGCCGTCCTGCTGGCTGAGTTCTCCTCCTCAAAGTCTTCCCCCACAGCAGCCAGCACCTGTCGTAGCCCACCATCTACACAAAGATACAATGTCCTAAGTGCCACAGATAACATGTGGAATGCCATGAATGTTTTTCGCGCAGATGTACCCTGGTCTCAGGTCCTTGCCCCCCACTGCATCGACACGGCTGTCTCCGCATTCACTGATATCCTTGAAAGTGCCTTGGACCTATATATAGGAAGATTCTCACCTCCTAGTCGGAAATCACGCCACAAACCCTGCCCCTGGATGACTGCATCACTGAAAGCAGCTATTAAAGTCAAGAGTGATCTCTACAGCATCTACCGGAAATACCCATCCCCTACAAATTTCAACAAATACAAACACCAACGTAACTATGTAAAATGCCTTTCCAGATCCTGCCATCGCTGCTACATCCGCAACCTCCGTGCCACGATATCTCCCACAAACCCTCGCCTCCCATCCCTCCCTGTGCTCATTCGTCAACTGCGAAATCCTACCAGCGCCCGGGTCATACCTTCGAAGATGGTGGGCCCCAATGGTCGAACAAGCACCTCTCCGGCATCCATTGGTAACTTATTGAACCGCCACTTCGTCAGTGCTGGCTTACAGGTTGACCCCGATGCTCCTATTCCCACAATTTCCTCCCTACCTCCACCAGCAACTACATTGCACTCCCTGATCATCACCTCATCGACTGTTCACAAGTATATTGCAAGACTGCCTCTGAACAAATCCCCCGGAGCTGATAGGATCACCAGTGAGATCCTCAGGAAACTGAGCTGCTCAGTTGCCCGCCCACTCTCCATTCTTTTTAACCTTTCCCTCTCCTCCGGCACATTCCCGTCACGATGGAAGTCAGCCACTGTCATTCCAGTGTACAAAAATAAAGGCGACAAGAACAACCCGTCTAATTACAGACCAATCTCCCTCCTGTCCTGTGTCTCCAAACTGCTAAAGAGAATAGTGTACGGCCGCTTGTATACCCATATCTCCCCTCTTCTTCACCCCGCACAATCTGGCTTCCGTCATAAGGACAACACATCCCTGCAATTGTCCCGCATAATCCAAGACCTCTGCTCCCTAAAAGACCAAGACCTCTCCAAGGCCTTCGACACCGTGTGGCACAAGGGCCTGATCGCCAAACTTCGTGCCCAGGGTGTCTCCGGCTCCCTGCTCGCCTGGATAACTAGCTACCTCTTGGACCGAAATCAGTGTGTCACAGTGAATGGAACCTTATCTGACCCCGAGTCTGTGACACCTGGAGTGCCCCAAGGCTCCATTTTAGGTCCCCTGCTCTTCCTCATATACGTTAATGACCTCCCATATGCCATTCCCAATATTTCTTTGTTTGCAGATGATACCACTGTCCTTGCTTCCTCCCCACGCCACCCTGTATCCCAAAGTTCAGACCTGTATCAACGACATTGTTCACTGGATGAGCACTTGGGACCTTAAGCCAAATGTGACCAAAACCGAGCCCCTCCTTTTTCCCCCTCCCACAGATCCAGTGCCCATCTTCCACTTTCCCGATGATCCCGGTCACCCTAGCTCTGTAGCGCCCACCATAAACACCTTGGCATTGTCATAGATTCCGCCCTCTCCTGGTCTCACCATGCTGATCATGTGTCGTCCAAAGTATGCCGATCTGTCGCCATAATGTCAAGTCACTTGTCCCATTTGCCCCAAAATTGCTGGATTAATTTTTATAAATCATACATTCTTCCCCTCTTCACGTACGGCTTCCCTGCCTGGTCCACCATTAACAAAACCCACATAGGTAAATTAGAAGTTCTCCATCGCCGTATACTGCGCATCATATTTCGTACTGATCGTTATATCTCAAATCTAGACTTGTATGCTGCTGCATCCACTACCACTCTGCAACACTACATTGATGCTTCCAAGTGCACCCTGGCACATTCAATTTTTCTTGACGAGCACCCTGCTCATTTACAGTCCCTTAATTGGTTCAAGTCAGGTGGCACCACCCGAAGCTGCGTTCGTCTCCTCCTAGCTAGGTCTACCCTATTCGTAAATTCTCCTTTCTTTTCCTCCTACTCCACGTGGCTCCAACTGCCTGCCAGTGTTAGACAAGCTCCAGATATGCGTAAATTCCGTACCCTCGTCAGACAGCACTTCAGTATCTCCCAGTAAACACAATCACAGTCACCACTTCCGCTGCATAGCTCGCTGAGCATCCCATTGCTTTGTAAGTTGCTAATCCCTTCCCACTTCCCAATCCCATCCTTTCCCACTTTGTGTACGTGCTCTTCATTTTCTTTTTTCTCTTCTTCCGTGGTTGGTCTCACCCTCTCCTCAATTCAATTGGCTGTCTTGACATGCCACGAGGTGCAGAAATAAATAAATAAATAAGTACAGAACGCAGTGTTCCTTTGAACTTGTAGTTTTCGTGCCAATATTTTTTGTGAAGGGGTGTTTGGCCCGCCTTTGGCAATGTTTGCGTTATAGCACTAGTTTGAGTGATGCGTATCATACATGTATATTTAACTAATGTAGAGAATAGGAACGTGATAACTGTAGTGCATGTTAAGTATAACACTTGTGTGACATCCGTGCGTTGTGTGTGTGTGTGTTTTTTTTCTCTACTTCCTCAGTCATTTTTTCTCTCTTTGTCTTTCTCATCGTCTTATTATTTCCCGCGAGGTCGCTGTTCTTTTTTTGCGCAGGGGAGGTATGTTAGGTACCTCCTCCCGTACGTTCTACAACCTTATCCAAGCTGGCCTGCATGCACTCTCGTACTCACCTTTTGTCTCCTTTTGTTCCATTGGCCTGGGTAGCTACTTGCGTGCCCATAATTGCCATAGCTACCCAGGCCCTTTATCTTGCCGTTCACACTTGATCTCTCTCTCTCTCTTGTCTCTCTTCCAATGTAGTCGTTTCGTTCGTCTTGGTCTCTGGCTCTTCGTCTCCCAATAAATGTTGTTTGATCAAACCTGTTCCCGTTGTCCGTTGTAATGTCTGGAGAATATGTCGTCGTCCTGTTCGTACTGAACACTTGTTTCAGTGCGTATTTAGTCAATTTTAGCCCACTATCCAAGTGTTAAGTACCTTCTACCGTACGTTCTACAACCTTTTCCAAGCTGGCCTGCATGCACCCTCATGCTCACCTTTTGTCTCCTTCTGTCATCTTTTGTTCCGTTGCCCTGCGCAGCTACTTGCGCGCCCATATTTGCCATAGCGACACAGGCCCTTTATCTTACCACCCTCACTCGATCTCTCTCTTCCATAATGTAGTCGTTGTGTTGGTCTTGGTATCCGTCTTTCCGTCTCTTCGTCTATAACAAATGTCTTCCTAACTACTCGTTCCCGTTGTCCGTTGTGTGTTGGGGAGTATGACTTCTCTTTGTACCCAACACAAGGAACATACTATTTTGTGTTCCGACAATGCCAATCATGAAGCTTACGTTCGCACCGAGGTACAGGGCTGGTCCAGGTACGATCGGCCTGGCAGATAGCAGACAGTGATCCTACAAGGTTGTAACCCTCGTTGCAAGCCCAGTCAACACGGTTCTGGTAGACCAGTCCCTCCAGCTGACGACTACCAAACATTGGCTTGCCTGGGTCAGCACACATGATTGCTGTTAAACATGGCCGACAGAACAAGAACAGAAAAGCATAGAACAGGTTACAGGAGTTTTGTTCAAGCCAATGAGATGAAAGAAACTAAATTGCATGATGTATGGGATGAACAATATTGGTTTTCAAAACACCAATCAATCTAGCAACCTGGACTTCACTCATGTCTGGACAGACGGTCGCAGACTGGCACGGGACTGCTCCATTGACCACTGGCCTGGCAAACTGCATTGGTGGCTCCAAGAGGAACGTATCCGACATTACATTGCCACGTCACTCTGTCTGTGTATTCGAGACCTTCTATAGTTTGGCTACCATTGGTTGGTGTCCCAGGGTCAACACACCGTATCCCTGAAGTAAATATTATTTTATAACAGTCAGACGCTCACACATTCAAACTACAATGGGAACGTGTTAAATTGTGTTTGCACAACACAAACAGCTCTATTAAGTTGGACAGGGTTAGCAGTTCCGCACCTTTTTCCCTTGGCAAGCGCTTCTCTGATTTTGTTGGTGCTTTCAGACCTGCTACCTTCGCAGCAACATGCGCCACAAGCAGCGCATTTTAGGAATTTGAGAACACTTTGTTCTTGCCATCGTCAACTTCAGCATTTCGTATTCAGGAGAGATACCAGGATTCTTATACCCGAGCTTGCAGTCTTGATAAATGTCCACGCGAACGATGTGGGACGGCACGAACTCCAGAAAAACGATATGCGCTCTGGGCGGAATAGTGTGGAGCGATGAATTTGCTTGGTGCGGAAGAGAGCTCCGACAAAGTCCGAGACCACCACGGCTTCAGTAACAGGTAGACATTGTGCAGGAAGGGTTGCACCAATGTTCAAACACAGAAAACAAGGATTCCGACAGTCTGACTAAGACGAGCCAAGTCGCAAACATTGCGATGTGCGAAGCGACAATTTTAATGACCCGGAGGAAGGATGTTTTACATGTTTAACCTTGGGTACACGGCGATTCTTTCACTGACAGCTATTACGAGTCTTTGATCAGCCACTGTAATCAAATACTAGTACGTACATTGACAAGTTGGTGCAATGTTGCTCCATGTACCGTTCACCTGGCATATTCCCTTGGTATGTCCAACCGTATTGTACCCAATGCTGCACATCCATGTGACAGTATCATTGTACCGGAATGGTCTCATAGTGGTACGCTGTATGCCTTTACTGACATCATACCAGCCAGAGATGGGTCTGACTGGATCTGGACAGGATGGAGCTAAGAAACACAAACACCAGAACAGGTACAGTATAGAGTTGATGGATATAGAAAGGGTTTGAAAGCGATGACGTCAGATGTCAAAATCTAACGACAAATAACGACTTGTAGATCCTCTCTGCCCATAGCGCAGTACAAGATGTGGTGGGTCGATCCCTTGTGTCACATGCAGGTGTGACTTTTTCTGCACCAGAAGTAGGACCCTGACTGGGAGGGGGGGGGGGCAGTCCAGTCACTACTGGTGGACGTGCCATCCTGATGTGAAGGGAAACCACCCAAGCGAGTATAGATTCATACAAAACCGAAAAACTGGATCCAAGTGGATCACAACTCAGCATTGTCATGCGTCCTTGTTGGCTGTGACGTAGCACTTTCAAGCCCTGTTTAAGGTGAGGAACCATTGCCCCCCCCCCCCCACTCACAGTACTTACAACACACAGGAAACACGATCAACTCTATAGGTACAACAGCCGGGGATGAACAGGTCTACTCTCACCTCCGGACCTCGGGGGGGGGGGGGGGGGGTTCAAGAGGCTAGGAAACGATCATCAGATTGATGACGACCCCACATGTGATTCCATACGAAAACACTAGCAACGTATTATGCATCAATAATCCTGCATATAGGTTGTACTTCAAAGTAATATGATGCACTCCTTCACGAATAGAGAGTTTGTTGTTTGTTTGTGTTTATTTTGAGAGTGTGAGTAAGGGTGGCCAAAAACTCCAACTTGACAACACATGTGCTTACGCTTGCAAGTGGGCTTGGAGTGCGACCATTCTCCATTGGTCTTGCACCAAACGATGCCAATCGGAGGATACAGCATGGTAAAATGGGCATTGCAGGTATATCTCACTGTGTCCAGGTACCCATAACCTGTGAGTGTATAGGTACCGCCAAGAAGCGTGCCCGGATCTTGGCAGCGTCTTCCTGCAACAGAGGAAGAATTTAACAGAATATTCATAAGTTTGAGGGAAAGTTGCAAATGGGAAAAGTCTGAAGACAAAATTGACTGTCCCCATCACGACTTGAACCAGGGACCCCGCTTGAGGCCAGCGATGCTCTAACCACTGAGCTATGGTGTAGCTGTTTACAAGCAGCGACCGGACAACATTCTCTTCAGACATCGAAACTCACTCTTCCTGTAAATTCCACAGGATTTCCGCACTGGGTATGTGGGGCACTATCACTCAGCATCTGTATTCTACTTATACACATCAAGACAAAATCAGCAGTGGCCTTCTGAAGTCCCTTTTACTACACCGGCGAATTAACGTCTTGACGGTGGTGGTGAGAGTACAAAAGGTACCAGTTCCGAAGCCCCATTTCTGCATCCATGTGTTGTCCCTGCCCTTTTGGCACGTGTGTGCCCCTTTTGGCACGTTGGTGCGGACCGCGCGCGGACTGCGCCGGTTGGAGATTATCGTACATGTTCTTGTTGTTGTGCGCATGCTTGCATGCTTATCGTGCGCATTCTGGCTGTTTTCGGTGCCTTCTTCCTGAGACTCTCCTTAGAGTAAGACGAAAATAATCTGTCCTCTGAGTGTGGCGTGCGTGTGATGTATACGAGAGTAATCGGAAGGGCTATCGTGCGAGGGAATAAAACCCCCCGACGACAATTGGCGCCCAGCTAGTGGCATCGTTTCCCACGACCCTGAGATCGTTTTCGTTTTCGCCGTGGCTTCAAATCTTGTCTTCTCCACGCGTCCTCGCCATGGCTCCGCTTTGCTCCATTTGCTCAACCCTGTCCTCGGAGCTCCTACTCAGGTGAGCATGCTTTGTCTGCCCTGCGTAATGTTTGGTACCTTGTACGTAGTTCTCCTGGTACTAGTCTTCGATTTGGGATTTTCAAAATAATTGTTTCGCTTCGTGGCATTGAAGTCCCGGGTTGTTCTCTTGTGTACGAGTACCTCGTTCGAGCCTCGCTCCTGTTAGTACATGATTGTGGCCCACGTTGTGTGTGCGGTGTTTTGAACCAGTGTACATTGTCGCCCTCCGGCCTCTGGCTGTTCGAGTGGTCGTGTGCACTGTGTTTCACACCTTCTGACTTGAAAGTTTGTTGTCCGTGCTGTCGTGCATGCTCATCGTGTTGCTTGGTACGTCATCATGGTAGTCAGCATGGGTAGCTTTGCTCGTGTTTGCTTACTCGCCCTGTGTTGTGCACTGGTGCACGTCGTTTCGGTGTCGTCGGACTGCTCCGATCCTGTGTCGTTCGATTTGTTTCAGTTTGGTAGATGTCCCCATCGATTTACTCGATGTGGTGGCACTCCGTCGTTTCCAGTTTCAAGTACAAGTGCTTTCTTTTTCGTTTTACTAGTATTCATGTTTTGTGTCGAGCGTTTTAGTGCTCCGCCTGGTTGTCCCGCTCATGTGGAATGGCTGACGCCCAGTGGTGTAACATGCTTCTGAGATTCTCGTTGACGGTCCGGGTGGCAATATTTCTGTGAGTGTGTTGTTTGGTATTTGTGTTTTGGCACGTGGGTCTCTTCATTTCACCTAGGGGGGCGTCCGATCATGGTGAGCCACGGTCTGCCTGGTGGGCTGGTGGGATCCAGCGCTTATTTGTATCGGTTCGCCTTGCGGGTGTTCGGTTTCCGTGTTTTGCTGGCTGGCCTTTGTGCGTCCCAGTAGGGTTCAGGACGGTGTTTTTTTTGTGTTTCGTGAGCGGATGTGTTTCACGCGTGATATTCAGGTTCAATCCCTGTGGTTTTTTCAGGTTAGAGGCCTGTGGTTATTCAGGGTAGCGCCCTGTGGTTTTTCTATGTTAATTTTTGTTTGCGTATTGGTGACCGATTTGTTTGTGTGCTATCTGGTGTCCTCATGGATAGACTGCCCCTGTATCCGTAGGCGTGTTCAACGTTGCTGTTCTGCCATTCCTTCTTGTGGTTTTTCTTGTCTGAATTTTGGCTCCTAGTATTGCTGAGATGTTTGCGTCAGTCCTTGTTTCTTTCTTTCTGTGTGTGTATCTGTGAGTTTTCGTAGCCCCATCGGCTGCGTGATGGTTTTCCGGACAACTCCTGTGCTGTCAGATGACTGGTCACCCGGTTCAGCTGCCGCGGTCTTCGCCGTACCGTCGGTTTGCCTTGGCTTCGCACCAGGTCGAGGTGGTTGTTTTCCGGGGGCCCACGCCTGAAAGATGGCGGTTCCCTCTATGGGTGGGCCCAGTCTGTTTTCTTTCCACCCCTTTGCTTTGGCTTTTCCCCCGTTGTCCGGAGTTACTAATGTATCCTACTGTTTTGGCCCTGCGTATCTGCATGTGTATGTTGTTCACATTTGATTTCTTTTTCTCCTGTCTGTCTTCTCGTTTTGTTTTCTTCTCTCCCATCCTCAGGAGAGGATGCATTTTTTTTCATGTGGAAGTATGTTGTCCCTGCCCTTTTGGCACGTGTGTGCCCCTTTTGGCACGTTGGTGCGGACCGCGCGCGGACTGCGCCGGTTGGAGATTATCGTACATGTTCTTGTTGTTGTGCGCATGCTTGCATGCTTATCGTGCGCATTCTGGCTGTTTTCGGTGCCTTCTTCCTGAGACTCTCCTTAGAGTAAGACGAAAATAATCTGTCCTCTGAGTGTGGCGTGCGTGTGATGTATACGAGAGTAATCGGAAGGGCTATCGTGCGAGGGAATAAAACCCCCCGACGACACATGTACCCTCAACCCAGGCCGCAAGTTCCCAAATAACTGTGGGTCAAAGCATGGTCTGAAAATCCCGCACCCCTCTAAGCATGGCTTTAACATGCTACCTTTCCATAATTGCCAACCCCTGGCAAACAGTTTCCTTGACACTGCATGACGTGTTTCCTTGATTTTGCCCATTTTTCCTTGATCTGCAATTTTTACATCATAATTGTGCAAAATATTGTTTATGACATCATTGTGGCGTCACCATGACCACAAAACATTCGCAAATAGTACAACATGTACGACAAAAAAGTGCGTTTTCATGCGCTAACTCAAAAGTTCTTGCTCGCTACACCTTCGTTTTGGGCACAGCACTGCGAGCGAGTGTCCAAAACACTGAAAATCAACAAAAAAAGGTGTTGACGGACATTTTCGAAAATCCGGTAAATGTTATAACTTTTCCGGTATACCCGGACGGAAGCGAGTTTTCCTTGATTTTCCTGGAAATTCCGGTAGGGTTGGCAAGTATGCTTTCGTTTCTCAAAATTGGTAATACACTAATGGGCACTCAGGGCCATAGAGCACAGTCGCGATGGTCCGGCTATGGTTGGACCTTGTTTCAAAAAAAAGTGACCCACCCAATCTGTTGCAAGGCGGGTTTTTCGCCAAAGATATTCATTTCTGGTCAAGTGTCCCATTTGGCCGGATCACCTGGAATCATGATGATACGGCCCTAGCACCACATCTGCCTGACTGCCTTGTCACATACTGCAACACCAAACGGGTTGCAAGGGTACAATTGAGGTCTTTCACACAACAGCATTTATACCAGGAATAACAGTCTGTTCTTCAATACCCATAGCTGGTGGGGTGTGAACAGTCATACCTTGACCAGGCGTAGTAGTTTCCCATGAGATATCCGGAACTGATCGTGTCACGATAGCTCCACTTGGAAAAGCAGTCTCCGTGTTGACATCAAAAGCTGATGTTGTCATTACATCTAAGCAGATGTTAGAGTAGAGAACATACACCAGTCTATCATCACACGTTGTAAGCTGGTTTCGCTTAAAAGAACAATTGGGAGTGAGACAGAACAGTTGAGTAATGAATAAAACTATGTGTGCACTCGTATCACAATAATAGCAACAATTTCAGGATTCCAGAACGTTTTATTGAAGAAAGCGTTCTGGAATCCTGAAATTGTTGCCCTGATTGTGATATGAGTGATACGAGTGCATGATATGCACACATAGTTTTATTCATAGAAAATAAAAAGGACCAAGAAACTACAAGTTACGCTATAATGTCCACTACACCACCGATGCCTAAACTGTGAACATTATAGCGTAACTTGTAGCTCCTTGGTCCCTTTTTCTTTTCTATAGATTTATCCTTGGCTCTCCATCCGAGTCCATCGTTTAGTTTTATTCATTGCTTTATTAAGATTATTGTCTCCACGTCGCCTGTTCAAACAGATGAGGGAATAATAATTGTTCGCTGAAATTGTACACTGAAAAACTTCTATTATCTTATACTGTAAACCAGCAAATTTTCGCCGACCTCCAAAAAACACTTTTCGCCGCCACTTAACTTTCGCCGCCACTTAACTTTCGCCGCCACTTAACTTTCGCCGCCACTTAACTTTCGCCGTGCGCGTGCAAGAGTCCAAAAAAGTGATCGATGTTTCATCCGGGAATGTAGTGCAAAGGTCCGCGTACTAGTAGTTTGTAGAATTTTTCGCACTGATTCTCTCTAGAAAATTGTTTTCTGTTGCCCGTACACGAGGCCGATATGATTGTGTTTAAAAAAAGAAAGAAAAAAGTAGTTTGTAGACCCGTGTCTACTGTACTACAGTGCCTATACTCCACAAACGGTAGGTACGGGCGCAGTACCCGTAACTGGGAAATTCTGTCACATCCGTACTAGAAGCCACTGTATACATGTAATTATACCACTAAGTTATGGAGAAAGAGAGCAAAAAAAGTTTTGGCAAATGAGTGACCCAAACTGACATTATTAATTTTGGTTCTGGTGACAAATTTTGGCTGGCGATTAATTTTGGCCGATTGGCATTGACCGGCGAAATCAGCGAAATTAACATCGCCAGCGAAATTTGTTGATTTACAGTATCTCAACTTGGACACTTGCCTTCTGTTATGCCTACTCCCTGCAGGGGTTGTCGGAACTGGTGCGGCAGGTGCGGCCAAAGCCTCACCAATAATTTCAACTTGAGAATTTTGAAACACTAAAATATAGGCTTTTTCGACCCGATATTTTCCCATCTTTTTCGCTGGAGTGGAGGACCCCAGACCCTTCACCACCCCCCCCCCCCCCCCCCCTCTTCATGGCCGCACAAATGCCCTGCATAACTGACACCATACCAGCAACCGCTTTCTTTAAAGAAATTATATAACGGTTTTGGCCATTGACCAGGGGCGTACATAGGGCGGTTCCCGGGATGCCCGGGAACCAGTAAAAAAAGTTCGATATGGGTACAGAGAATTTTTTGATCCAGTCCCAGCGCTAGTAATGCGCTCACAGACTCACAGACTCAGTGCAAGTGCATGTCTAGTCTGGAGTCCGCCTGCCGGTCCGAGGACGGTGACTAGCCCAGGTGTGAAAGTGGTGCTGGGAGTGGGACACAGCGTAGATCTACTGAACTGGGCCATGCCTGAACCCATCTTGGGTTCAACAAAGTCTCTAGTCTAGTTACATCGCCGGATTCCTCGATCTCAGAGTCAAATTTTCTGTTGGAGTTCGTTTTGACAAAGTTGGTCGTGTTTTGACGATGCTTTCGCTTTGTGGAAAAGAAAAATGAAGCGTCGACATCCAGAGGGCCAGCGCTCTATTCAGAGCTATTTTGAGCTGCACTCCTGCAGGCAAAGTGTGCAGCCAGTGCTCATGGTGCTAGTGGCGAAGGTCAAGCGATAGATGAGAATGCAGACGCACCTGACGTGCAAGTGAAGTATGCATGCAACGAGCAGCGCTGAGGAAGAAATCGTCGGCGAAGCTGTAGAGCGACCGTTGTTGGAAGCTGCTGGATCATCCAAAACTTACTTCAATGACATGGGAGTGTGTTGGAAGGGATATTCTGAAAGTCGACGTCCACAGTGGAATCCAGTCCCCCGAAATTTGCTGGACACGGAAAAGATTTCCGTCATCGACAATCATTGTGCGCCACCGCAGGCGAAGGATTTCATTTCCTGTGCGTGTCCAGATGGATGGCAAACAGCGCCACTTTCAACTATCCTTGTTGGAGGAGTTACCCTGGACAGTCTTTTGACAGGCATGCAATGGTGGCTTCTGCTTGCCCTGTGTGATGTTTGCTCCAGATAATTCGAAACTTAGGCAGCTTTCAAGACTGCATGCAATCGTCATGCTGAACAAAACATCCATAAAACGGGGAAAAGTTCAGTCCTTTAAAATCATAAATGCGTAGCAATGACATCGTCCAGCAGCTTGTGGATGGCAATTTCACCCAGTCTGAGGAGAATATGCAGAAACTCTGTGGGGTACGAAAAACAGCACTTCAATTGTGTGTAATGGTGGTTCATCAGTTGGCATGGGAACCACTCCTGGAGGCGAGCGGCGTACGCCCCTGTTGACCACCCTCGGCACTCACTGGTAGGTCACCCAGGCCGAACGAACTGTGAGCACAGAATACAGTTAGACGTGCATTCCCACATGCACTCCTTATTACGGATCTGCCGGGGAAAGAGGATCGGAGACTTCCACTGCACCATACATTTATGGGTGTAGCCTACCTGTACTTTGAAATACTAAAATGTAATGACTATGCACCACGCCGGGCCCTGACCGAATACTCCCTTACTAGTGAGCTAGAAAGTTTGCACTGTCTGCACGGCCACATTTCTAATGAAGATTCACTGTAAGGGAAGAGTGTGTTGCTCCCTACATGGGAGCTCGCGGTTTTCCTGCCGACTATAATTCTCACTTGACTGACTCACGACTGCCATCCAGAGCACACGAGAAGTCCATCGAATCGTCCACTCGGCAAACCTGCAAGAAAGCACCACTCCCTGCTCAATACACAGTGTTTCGGGGAATTCGCCCCTCATCAGTTGAGCTTGAGGTCGCACCAAACTCTTTTTCACATTGTTGTCCCCAGCGCGGGCTTGCGAATTAGACGGTTTGGGGGCAACAACGTTGTGAATGACCAACGGTCCTCAGCGCTTGTTCAGCACCTCCATGAGCGACACTGACTCACGTTGCTATCTGGTGTTTACGAGGTGTTTGTCGCGCTGGAAACGGAGCGTCTCTGCAAGTTTGTATCCCTGGTGATGTTTCCTTCCTCGGCCTACTCAAGCTCAACTGATGAGGGGTGAATTCCCTGTGTATTGAGCAGGGAGTGGTGCTTTCTTGCAGGTTTGCTGAGTGGACGGTTCGATGGACATCTCGTGTGCTCTGGACGGCAGTCGTGAGTCAGTCAAGTGAGAATTCAAGTCGGCAGGAAAACCGCGAGCTCCCGTGTAGGGAGCAACACACTCTTGGTCTTGGTCTTGGTCTAACGGTATGCAAGCAATGGGATAGCAGCCTGGTCTATATGACAGGCAAACAGGCCCAGTTGCTAGTGCTCGGCATATTCCTTGGCTGTCACAGTTAGGGACCTGCGGATTCTGCTCGAAAAGGTGGCAGATTCTGCTCGAAAAGCAGTGAAATTGGCAGAACCATACAAGCCTTATGGCGGGCAATTCCTCGAATTCTGCTCCATTTTTTATTCACATACCAAACATGCATGAAACTTACCAGAAAAAGTACCGAATTCTGCCAATTTTTCTGCCGGCAGAATCCGCCGGACCCTAGTCACAGTATTCCCTGATAGAGTTGAAATGGACAGAGACCTCCACAGATAACGAGCTAGGTTAACCACAGGCCATCATTAAACCAGTTCTCCAACAGGATGCATAGAACTGGACTATGCCTGATTGACATGAACGAACAACTCGACAGGATAGCATGCATGCACCTAGCTTCAAACTGCTTCCCAATAAATTTTAAAAGAGGAGCCCCGGTCCATAAGATCGATACTCGTAGTCAGGCCCGACAATGAAATGGATCCTCAGTATAATCCTCGATCATAGTGTTTCTGCTTTCTTTGCTTTCGCGTTTCTAATAAACAGCAGTGGAGCTTTGTGATGTGGGCTCGTTTATCTTCTTCGCTACCATTTTGTGCACTGTGTGCTGTGCTCAGATTAATTGCTTACATGAACAAGGAGAACTACTCAGTACTGGTGCAGTTGAAACTAATTGAGCGAGCAGTACGGGCGCTACGCCAACACAGTCGTCCCTCTCTAATCCGGCACTTGTTAATCCGGAACCCTTGAAAACCGGCACGCGTTGTGAAAAAACATTTTTTCAGTTCATTTTCTAGTCAGGCACCTGACTTCCTGCTTCAGCAGCAAATGTCTTGCAACGAATCACTCAAACTGTACGTGAGTTTGATTTGATAAGCCGGCAGTTGTGCACCACGTACCGTCCTGGTGACCAGCCAAGCCAGTAGGGTCAATGCATGACGTGCATGAACTAACTACATGTTCACTGTGTGCTCAATCTCTGCATGCAGGTCTACCCTCACTAGTAGAGAACCCGGGGGGGGGGGGGGGGGGGGGGCAAGTAGGCAAGTAGTCGTGGTTTGACCGTATTGTCCAGTGGTCTTGCCATTATCGTCATCGACATGCATGAACATCCGCCAACGTCCTTCACAGCTGAGGCTTTCAGCTCGTGCTTGTCTTGGTTGCACTCACCTTCCCCTCCTCACGTTATTTCGATAACTTAGAACCTTCCAATTCGGAAGGCTGTTGGAATGCGTATCCTAGATGTGCTAGAGCTGTTAGCCAGTTAGTTGTAGAACGTCAGTACCATCAGTCAGTGTCGTGCAATGCTATCGCATGAGCTGATTGTTTAGTAACTGGTGGTGTTAGCGGATAATAGGGAGGTTTAGTCCCACGTAATCCGTGGGTACTTTACGTGTGTGTACCA